CAAATCTGGAAATGATATAATGAATTAGTCGCCAAATCTGGAAACGATATAATGAACTAGTCGCCAAATCTCGAAATCCTAAAAATCCTTATTTATGAGGATCCTGATTAGGACAATGAAATAAAATTATGAAATTATTGCACTGTCATCGATCCTTGACAAGTGTGCAAAATTTCGAATTAATCTGACCTTTCAAAGTGGGTAAAAATCGAGTCCAAAGATTCTATTACATACAAGTGAAACTTATAAAAGCGTGTTAAAAACAGAGTCACTACACAAGAGAGGAGGAGAATCAATAAGTCCCAAGAAGCAAGATAGTTCCGGACATAAAGCATGCTAAGCAAATAAAATAAAATAAAATTTAAAGAAATTCCAGTACATGGTTTCACGTCGAGCGTTAAATAATTTAGTTATATTCTTTCGAAAGCGTAAGCGAAATAGGAGGTCAATGAGTTATATGAACATCGCACTACAAAGCAACAAGTGAGCTATTGGCCACGGACCTCGTAATTTCGAACCTCGGTCAAATGACAAGGACAACACCTGATCTAGCACTCCCTCTTTTAACTACCCCGCAAATGGTAGGACATTGAACTTCGACAGATTTAAAGTGCATCAGTCCCTCTACACGGTAGGTCTTCAGTGGCACCAGGACTCGAACCCGAGACACTCTGGCCACGGGCTCGTAACCATAACCAATAGGTTACACATTCACACGAAATTGGATGAAAACGAGACGAGAAATAGGAAGTGTCCAGCTTTCTGTAAATAAAACTGGGTAATAATAATGCCGATCCTACTATAGCAGCGTCTCTCAAACTGTGGGGCTCCCCGCCCCCTTGAGGGGGGCGCGAGCATATCGAAAAGTCGAAAGCAAAAGATTATTTAAACAAAAATTATTAATTTACTGAAAGTAAACAAACAAAATACATTCTAACATAATAAAATATAAAATGCACATTTGCACTCATATAATACCCTTATTGCAAATGTATCGGATGTATACCCAATGCACTTGATAATTAATTTAACAATACTAAGTTATGAACAATTTTAATAATTACCAGTGACCCCATGGGTTTGTCATACATAAAAGTTTTACAAAAATAAAAAAAAAAAAATTATCTTGATAATTTATTATACGGTTTATAATTAATCCCGAATCTGCCGATTAAAAGTTATGGGATTCGCTTCCCAATGCCACTGTTTTCTACGTAGGGACGAGCATGTAATGTATTGGGCGGGAGGAATGAAAAGGAATAAATAAATAAAAGCTTCTCTGAAATAAGTAAATTCTTTGCAAACACTGTCAGTGTCCTTTTATTACATTCCAAAGTCTTCGGAATAATTTTATGGATGCAGAGAGCACAGAAAAGATCGTACTTCAGAAAGACGTATATATACGTCCGGGGAATTTAACGCTTTGGCTGAGGGAGATGTTTGGCTTAGGGAAGAAGTCATATTGTAGCTTCAGTGGCAAGGTATAGTAATATTGAATTCAATATATTGTTATTGTGTAGAGGGGTGTGCGATGAAAATTGTGATTGAATATTGGGTCGCAGATATTGAAAGTTTGTAAAACACTGTACTATAGTAACTGATGAGAGGCTGGACGACATCCTTCACGAAATTTTAGGATCAAATTATTTCTTAGCTTTGAGAGGGAATGTCCCAAGAGGAGCATGGCTGGTAGTGACTGGCCACATCTCTACATTATGTTTGGGGGGAAATTTGGATGATAAGAATCTCCCGAAAGTGGCGCGCGTCTCTTTATATAGTGAACCGAATCACCTGCAAATTCTTGGGCAGAACTCTCACTACTGTATTCCCAATCGCGAAAAGTTACATTTTATAAGATTTATGAGAATTTCGACCTCAACAAGGGACCCAAGATCTTGACAGACCCCTTCCGAAGGAATGTGACGACATCTGGTCAAGGGGGGCATATATAGAAATTACCAGAAAAAGGGGGTCGTCCAGCCTCTCATCATAACCTAACGATGTACCACCTGTTGGAGTTCCTCCACAAGAACAGCTTGGACACGGCCTAGAGTCATAGTTGATCTTGCACCCCGGATCACATTTGGGGGGTGAGCAGAGAATACCCGACACTCCTGAAATAATCAGAGATTAAAATGGATGAGAACAAATGAAATAAAATTCTAAAAATTGAAAACAGTTATGAAAACATATTCAGAAATGAAAAAAAGTGGAAGAAAAAAAAAAAGCCAATCTGCAGAAAATCTCCCACCTGTGGTACGCCCATTGCAGACGCACACGGGGCAGGGCTTGGCGTTGTAGTCGATTCGGCAACCTTCGTTGCACTTCGGAGGCGAGCACAAAATACCTGGAGAGAAACGTACTCAAATTCATACTCTATGGAAACGAAGATATTAATAAAAAAGGAAACGAGAGCGTTTATTTTTAATTAAATGCTCTGTCGCATAATTCCAACAGACTTTGCCAAGTCTTCTTTCTCAGGACCTCTTCACAAACATGCCACTGGAAAAGAAGCTTTGTAGGGCTTTGTAAATGTGTATACCTTTCCTTATTTTGGTACTTTTTCCTCCATCATCACCTTTTATCTCTGGTAGGAAGTCGAGATCATCTCATCTATTAGCAACTATCTCCAATATTTGTCATCCTCCACTATTCTTCCATCTTATTTGGAAGATTCTTCTAACATGAGGGCCTGCATCCATAGTTACTTTATTGGTTCCTTTTTATTTGTCATAACTATGGTTAAATTACATTAGCACTGGATATCTCCTTAGATATTCTGTTAGTATAGAGGCCTGCATAGACTGAAATGAAACAAATTAGTGCAGATATGAAAAGAATCACAGAAAAGAGAGAAATTACCTGATTTGCTTCCTAGGCATACGCATGCAGGACAGGGTTTGGCGCTCACATCGACTTGACAACCAGGATCACATTTTGGAGGGGAGCACATGATTCCGCTGGCATCTGTAAAAGAAAGTATTGTCAAATTTTTCTTCACAGTACTTATACTTTCGAAAATATTTCGTGATTTTTTGGGTATCATAAGATATTAGCATAAGTTCAGGTAATGTAATGTTTAAACGAAATGCAACGGTACAAAAATAGATGGAATGTTTTCAAACAAGGATCAATCAAGAAAGAACGTAAGTAAAAATTTTAAATCCTTAGCATGGGAGTTAAAATAATATTGAGGGGAAAAATACTCTAATTATCCTTTTTCAACTCACGTTCATACGACTGAACAAACAAGATGGGCTCCCACATATGTAGAACAGTTAAAGAAAATATGATTAATGAATTAGAGAATAACTTTAACTTAAAATTTAAAAATACATTAATAGTTGTATAGAAAGCTCTACAGGCCATATTAGGCACCATCCTGCTTCACGTAAAAGTACGTACTAGTACGAGAAGCGCGAAGAATGAAATGATAAAGCAGGTTACCCTTGCTTCCGCAAGCGCAACTGGGACAAGGCTTGGTGTTGTAATCGATTTCGCAGCCAGGTTCACATTTCGGCGGGCTGCATTGGATACCTGGAAATTAAAACGCATTTTTTAAATACCATATCCTGGTTTTACATAATATAATGAACACATTCTGAAATTATAGCTTTAAACTTGTAATTAATACCAAACATTTGTAATCATCTCTGATTACTTTTACCCTTTGAATTACTTTTTCAAAAAAGAATACCAAATGGTATATTATATAAATGGTGTACTTCATATAAAATGATCATATGACGAATGCCTTTAATTTCATGCTTTTGAGTTTTAAGTTTGTACTTTTTTTACCTTAAGGCTGCCTTCAGCTAATGTTTAAGAATAGGAGCCAAATTCGGAATATTTTTTCAGATATAAAAGTACGTTAATATTATATTTTGGCTTCATTATCCTGTAGAGAATCACTGATTTTATCATACTACTCATTTTTATCCTAATTGACACATTTTTTTCTTTTATAAAATGAGTTTCGTTTTTTTCCCTCCTATATCGTAATGCTAAATGAGCTATCCCTTTACATTTTAAAAGAAAAACTAATTATTTATGAAATATTTTGAAATTTTAAAAAACATTTTGTTATAAACAAACACAGGAGTTACAATGTCACAAATCTTTATAAAAATTGAGTAATTTTTTTCTGTCCAAAATGTGCTCCGCGTTAAGTTTATGCTCTTGTACATATGGCGAAAATAGCCTTAAATTCATATATATGCCTTTCACTCTCAGAAAGACTTTATAATATTTGTGGAGAAATCAGCTTCGATTATAAATTCTTCAGAGAATATTTAAGTAATATAATATCCATACATAATATTGAAAATAATATTATATAAATGTGACAAAAATTTATTCTTTTCTTTCTATATTCCTCTTACACAATAACAATTTACAGTTAGTTAAAAACTAGTGCTTATTGAATTGTTTCTATCATTTCCTCAATATTGCGAAAAAATTGTAATTTGACTGTTTGGTTACATTTTATGCATTACATATTATCATTGTTGCTATTGTTATTATTATTCCATAAAGAAATCGTGTACACATACATAATTTAAAAGAAATTGCTAAACTTATACAAAGGAATAACCTGTAGTTACACAATTATATTAATTTTTACCTAACTCACACATCTCTTTCTTCAAAGATAAGAAAATGAAGCATTTTTAAGAACTTTTTCTTAGTAAAAGTTAAATTCTGAATGAATTCAAAAACAAGTAATATAAAAAAAAAATTAAGTCAATTCCTACTTAGGTCAACAAAGAAAAATTTGATTTGAGTTATTTTTTATTAAATAATTACTATTAATATAAATATGTATATACATAGGACAGAATCACACTATTAAGTGACAAAATAAAAAACGGGTTTCCCTTCTCCTTTCTATATAGGGTGTTGAACTATTTTTTTTTGTTATTATTTTTTCATTCATTAAATTTAATTATTCTAATAAAATAGTATAGTAAAAAAAGAATTCGCATTCTCAGAAATTATGTCGTCCCATGTGGGATTCAAACCCACAACCCTCAGACTGGAAGTCCAACACGCTATCCATTGCGCTACTGGGACACAACGAACTACTTTCCTTTCTATATATATTGTCGGACTATTATTTTTGTTACTCTATTCTCTATTGTTTTAATTTAATTTAATTTATGAATTAATATTTAAAAAAACTGTATTAACATCAAGTGTCATCCACTACAAGTTTAAAAAAAAGGTTTTTTGAAGAGTATTAATAAAAAGTATTTTATTAACAAATTGAACATTTGAACAAGATATATATATATATATATCTTATCTAATCTAATAGTAGGAATTGAAAAAAGAATACACAAATAAATGTTATTCTGGCAGAAAAAGCAGAGGAAATATCCAAATATGCATTTATAGAGCAAAGCTTTAGAATAAGCAATGCTGCTTGCCATATCATGTTCCATAAGTAAAAAATACTTTTATCAAGAAATTACAGAAATATTCATTTATTTAATTTTTACTAAAAGGGACTCGTCTGGATATGGTTGCCTACAAAATATTGCGGGATCTTTTACAGTAAATTTAAGTCTATAGTTTACCGATTGTTTGAATAACAGATAAAGTAGCGGATTTGCGACACGTGTTGCGGTGTAGATGTGGGATGCCAGTCTATTTGACGAACTCGTCATCAAATAGAAGTTAAAAATTATGGATTGTACTAAGTGTACTTTGGAGTTGGGCATAAATAATCCACTATATATAGAAACGTAATAAATAAATACATACAATATAATTTAATCTAAATGAGAATTTTGAAATTTTTACAGCTCTAATTTATGTATATTTGAAGCGCGAATTTGAAATAGATTTCCTTACATCAGTTAAAACTGCATTGCAGGGTATAGAAGAGGAGTCTTACCAAAATTGAATTGCATTCGGCACACACAAGTTGGACAAGGAGACGCTCTGTAGTCGATTTCACAGCCAGGATCGCATCTAGGCAAGGAGCATTGAGGCGGTCGTCGAGGGGCTGAAAACAAAAAACAACGAGAAAAATTTAAGTTCTATTCATTTTGGATCACATACTACGAATGTTCCGAAAATACGCTCCATCGCTCTTTTTTTTTTAAAAAAAAAGATTAGATAGTACACCAAGTGAAACACACAAACAATCACCATAACAAACTACAACCTTTGCTGGTTAAACCACGGATGTAGCGTTGGCTTAGGAGGAATGACGCATGCGTAGAACACCGATGAAGAGAGAGTAGCAGCGGATTGGCGTGCCCGAGGTCATTGGAGTGTAAATCACTATGGCACGCAGACATGTACGGACGACGTGGTCAGCAATGGAAGTGCGTGCTGTTATCTGGTATGAATTAAAACGTGAGAGTAGTGTGCCCGTGATCCATGGACGCCTACAGAGACCATGTACTGTGAAGAGGAGATGTTTCATCAAACGGTTGTTGTAGCCGAATCAGAAAGTCGAAGTGGCCGTCCCTCCACATCCACAAATGAAACACAAAATTGCTCAAGTACAGAACAGGTGTTAGCGAGGGACGTCTAAAGACTTCTTTAGGCCCTGAACCCCTGCCCAAAAGTAGGCTTTGGGCCCTTACACAATTGCAGGCCCCACCTATGAGCCTTAAAAGTAAACAGTACATAGCATACTTTGTCAAATACTCGTACAAACAATAACCGGAAAAAAATAAATGTGTATGATTTACAATCGTACAAACCAGCTCGACCGACTACCACCGACTGAATGAATAATGATGGCGTATAGTGATAAGCCTAGGCCTGCACCTGGACGACTGTCATCACATAGAGCCAGTTGAAATATCGCCCGAAATTCCCAGCTTTTCGGAGACTGCAACCGGAAATAACATTTGTACTTTGAAATTATTCGAATTATGATGTTCTTAAGGCTGAATCGAGAACTAGACTAGGCCCTCATTGCCCAGTTGGCCCATGCCTTAAGACGTCCCTGGTGTTAGCGGACAAGCGCATAAAGGTGTCAGAGTGGTGTCCACTCTGCGCATTGCTCGTGCTCAGGTCCATCACATTATCCTTATTGTTTTGGGTTACCGAAAAGTGAGAAAAAGAAAGAATACGGAAAAAAATGAGTTCCTGTTCAGAATCCTTTCAGGCCATGAGACATGGGGCAAAAACATTACCTTTAATGACGTGAAAGCATTCAAGCTCACCAATGTGGAAAAATCCTTATAAATCAGTGCTGTGCGGCATTTCTTAGCATCATATGATACCGAGTTTTACCAGAGGGGATTCTACAAACTGATTGCACGTTACGACAAATGTCTAAATGCCGGTGGCGACTACGTGAAAAATTAGTACAAGATATATAGTTTCTGACACCATAATGTAATTTTTTTTTTGGTTAATAAAGTTACCATGGGAAGAAAATTACGAAACTTACTTTCGGGGAGTTCCCCGTGAAAATATTTAAAATGCTTTGATGAAATTCATTCCAAGCAATACATGATTTACATAAAAAAATTCCCAGTTTTACAATTAAAATTCAATCAATTGCAATTAAATTTATGAAATAACATAATTGTTGGGCTCTTTAAATTTATGATCAATCATTAACACTCATATGGCCTGGCAGATGGCAGCTGTTATCAGAGGGCGAGTTATTTTTCTTGAAGTATTTGCATTTTTTCCTCAGTGATCATTGAATGAACGAGTAACAAGGAAAAAAGAAACAGGAAATGGTTTATGAAATTTTGAATTTTTCATTTATTACATTCAAAATAGGTAATAATTTTAAAACCCGTTACAAGAAGTAAATTGCAACTAAGAAACTTAAGTAAAGTAAATAAAGTAAATAAACGTAAAGGAAAATTAATTAAAAGTAAAGAGAGACATTTTTTTAAAATATATTTTTAGTAAAATTGCACATTTCTTAGCTATTTATAAATCTAACAAAACATAATATGCGGCATTGATATCTATTCTCAGCACGACTGTACAAATGTTGCATTTATTTGAGGAAGCTCCTAGTGACATCTGTTGGTGTTTTTATTAACTATGATTACTAAGCAAATAAGTTTGCGATAAAAGCGGAAAATTTGTCCTCAGTATCTTTCAACAAAATGCAACATATTAATCTTCTTTAATGCAACTTTCAATAACAATAATCTAAATAACAAAATTTTCTTTTACATTTCCCACCGCCTTTTTTTTACTTCGAATATTAAATCAACTGATAGTTTCGTAATCATCTATATTATTTTAAAATTGTTGCATATTTTTTTAATCCAAATAACTGGATCGTCACAAAACAAATTTTGACTAATTGACTTTGGACCAACTTGAAGCTCTCACAATTTTAATTAGAACAATTCTGCAAAAAACAGTTAAAAACAATTCTTATGAACTTATTAAGAACAATTTTATATAAAAAAAGTTTTCTTAAGAAATTAAAACATATTTACTGGAGGAATTTTTCTAAATGTATGTGTGGTCGATTTTTTCACCAATTAGTTTTTACAAGTTACGGTTATAAATTTCAATTTTTTTTCAGCGATATTGTTATAAAGAAATTCACAGACGATAATTTTAATGTATAGATACTAGATTTAAACATGTTGAGAGAATTCTATTTACAAAAAAAAAGTTGAGGTTAATTATATTTCATGATAAATTACTTTTTTTTTTTTTTTTGCTTAGCGAACTTTAGTAACGTTCATTAAATTTTGCAACTTAAAATAGAATCCAGAACTATTTTGTTCTTTGTGCATTAAATCACTTGTGCTAATAAAGAGTTATTTAAAAATTCAGTAGATAATAAGTTGAAAGAAAAATAGTTTTTGATGCAAATAGAGCGTTTTCTTACAAGAACGTCGCACGCAGGTACAGGTGGGACAAGGTTTGGCATTGTAATCGATTCTGCAGCCATCTTCACACTTGGGCATCGAACACTGGATCATTGGAAGGTCTAAAAAAGTCAATCAGGAAAACCATAAAAATTTAAATTATATTCATCACTCCATTCATAAAAGAATAATAAAAAAACGAAAAATATGAAAAGAATGAATTAATGAAATTGTTTTTACAATTGAGAAACACTTTTTTTTGCCGATTCTCTGTTGTTAATTAAGATAGGTTTCATTAGTCAAACTAAAAAGTAAATTGTGCCTAGGATGCCTATTTTACAAAAACCTTACAGCGACTCTAATTCTTAGTCATTTATGTCATTAACGGCTTACACAGACTACCTTCATGGAAGAGGATACATTTTTTTAAAAAAATGTTGAAAACACATCGAGACGTAATCTTTATTATGATGAAAATTAAAAACTGTTAGCCTATGGAAGACGTTTGAACGAGGGTTTCTTTCCCGGGAACCAGGGATCCCGAGTTCCCGGGCAATCATAAACTTTCTATACTTTTTCTATTCCCGGGATTTCCCGGGAATCACAGGCTTTGTGTGTGTGTTTCATATCACTTATACAGAAAAAATTCTATAACTAACATAAATGAAACTATAAAAAAAATTAGAAATGTAGTAAAATTATTTAGAAAATCATCTCTCAAGAATGATATTTTACAAAAATATGTAATAGAAGAGTTGGCTGTGAAAGAATGGTTTGTTTAGATACTAAAACACGCCGAAATAGTTTGTTGGCAATGCTTGAAAGATTTTTTTAGAAATAAAGTCAGAGCAATTTTAAGAACATTAATTGACGTTAAAAAAGAACAAATGATGCCAATATAGAATTTGAAACTGTGACTACAATTGTAGCAGGCTTAAACCCAGTAAAAATAGGCTTAGAAAAATTACGCAGTCGAAATGGAACTTTGCTAATTGCAGAAGGTGTATTTTCGTTCGTTATTGGAGAATTGAACGAACAAAATTCTCAGAATTTGCGAAAAATATAGAATATTCTCTTATCCAAATAATTAATGAGAGTTGCAACGTTAATTTAATAGGATTGTTGCAATACCTGAATTTTGGGGAAAAGTACGAAGCAGCTGCAGTTACTGTCGATATTTCGCGATAGCTTCGTAAAAATTGTTTGGTTACACAAGTCCAAATGATAGGGAAAAGTCTTTTCTGCAAAGAAGAG